CAGCACAGAGCCCGACGCGGGGCTCGAACCCACGAACCGCGAGATCATGACCTAAGCGAAAGTCGGACGCTCAACCGACTAAGCCACCCAGGCACCCCCATGCTCTGACTCTTTAGTGGACCCTCTGCTCCGGAGCAGGACCGATGTGTTTCGGTTCCCTCTTCCCCGCCTAGTTTCCGGGTGACCCTGGGCACCTAACATTTCTCGGCGTCTCTCAGCCTCGTAAAGAGGATAATTGCGGTGCCTCCCGGGCTGCTGCAAGGTGAAGGGGATCATAAACACGGAGGGCTCAGCAGGGCACCAGCCGAGGTTAGATCCCCGTAGGAGAGCCTTCGCTGTCACCATCCCAAGCTCGAGGGTCGAATCCAACGGGGCCTTTGACTCACACATACACAGACTTTTGCCTCTGCGGAGAGTGGGCCTCCTGGGATATTGACGGGCTTGGGAGTGAAGTCGCGGTGGAAACCGGCAGTATGGGGGTCCCTCTGCTCACGAATGGCCTGAACTTCCCGTTCCCGAGTCTACGCTGCCGGCTGGCTCAAACCTGCATCTCCTGCCTCCTCCTGGTAGTCACATAGGGGCAGGAAAATGAGCACATTAAAGGGACATTGTGCGCACCCGCTGTTGATTCTTACACCACTTAAATGTCACCTCTGCTCTGTGCAAAGCTGGGTGGAGACAAGCACATCCAAAAGGTGCCATTCGGAGGGTTTGGCCTGCAGATGGTTGGCTCTCTGGGCTGGCAAGTCCCAGTCGGCCCTTGGCGGCTGTTGCCGTGGCGTTTGTGTGCATGGGGACGGGGCTCAGACTTCTCCGCAGCTTCGGAATGCTCTTCCAGAGCCTGGGCGTCAGGTGGTGGGAAGGCTGCATGCAGAGAATGAAGGAGGCTGCGGGGCGTGGGAGGGACCCAATCTGGCTAACGGAGGCCGGGGGAGGGGGAGATGCCTGGGCTTTGTCTAGGGACACGTGGATCGAGGAGCAGCGGGGATTTGGGCAGGGCAGGGTGGCCGCCCAGGCGGGTAGCACTGGGAGCCCGATGGACAGCCTCGCCCCTGCCTTCTGTGGGTTCACACCTGCGCCTCCCATCAGCCGCCCCCTCAGCAACGGTCCAGGTTGTATTTTTAAAACAAAAATGACACGGGGCGCCTGGGTGGCTTAGTCGGTTAAGCGTCCGACTTTCGCTCAGGTCATGATCTCACGGTTCGTGGGTTCGAGCCCCGCGTCGGGCTCTGTGCTGACAGCTCAGAGCCTGGAGCTGCTTCAGATTCTGTATCTCCCTCTCTCTCTGACCCTCCCCTGCTCATGCTCTCTCTCTCCTAGAAATAAATAAAAATATAAAAACAAAAAACAAAAAACAAATGACATGACATACTTCCTCCATTCAATGACCTCTTGAGTGGCCTCCAATTACCTTCAAAATAGAACCCACACTCCCTCCCTCAGCCACAGACAGCAGGCGAGGCTCATAAAATGCAGCATCTACAAAGCTATGGTCCACGCAATCCCGCCCCAGCGTTGTGCGGTGGCCAGAAAGCCGTTGTCCAGCACTCGAGGGCCGTTCCAACCCCCTTTGCCTGTAACTGTCACATATCAGAAAGGGGACACGGAGTTCATAGACGTGCTCCCAGAAATCCGTCTCCCCCTCGTTCCCTGTCCTCGCCCTCAGCAGCTGCCCACTGCCTGTGCTCAGCCTCCCCACCGCACCCCTGCTTCTCCCCTGCCCCTCTGCTTCCACCGGACTCTGGAAAGCCTTAGAGAATCCATCTGGTCAGGGGATGTCCACCTCGAAGGGCAGGGAAGAGCAGAGAACACAGGCCGGGGGAGCCTCCTCCTAGAGGCTAGAGGGCCGCCGGCCGGGAGCCCTCAGCCGCCGGGGAGCTCCGTCCTACCCGCTCGTACCTTACAGGCCACCCCACACCGTGAACATTCTCTAGCCGCTTCCTGCAACTGTCCTGAGGCCACTGTAAATGCAGGTTTAACTGCCGCTGACTTAACGCTGTGTCTTTAATGAATAAGTGAATGTGTATTTAACAGCCTGCCCGCGTGGCTGTCTTCACAGCGTTGTACACATCTGGCTCTTTCTCATCCTTATGGTTTTTGCCCAAAAGCTATCTTTTCAGAGAGGCCTCTCCTGGCCCCTGTCTTTCCCAGCAGACTTCCCCGGCCCCACACGACCCTCCTCTGCAGGGTCTGGAATGATCCACATTAAGCTCCGGGAGTCCTGGACTAGGGTGTGCGTGTCTCTCTGTCCAGGTCATTGTCGGCGCTGGAAATACTGGGCAAACCGAGGGGAGAGTCGGTATATTCTGAAATGATGGTAGGTTTCAGAGCGCGTCAACGGGAAAGGCCGTTGTCTGTACCGAGGCTGTAAACTGTCAGGTCCCCATTGAAGGGGGCCTTGAAGCGTCCACGGAGGCCACCAGACAGAACTCACCCAGACATTCCCACTTCCCCGGGGAAAGCTGGTCAGCTGGGCCCCTGCATGGCTCGACTCGGGGGCCACGGCTGACGGGTCCTGGATGGAGGGGCTCTGGAGCCCGAGGGCGGGCCAGGAGACTGGAGGGGCCCTGGGACACAGCTGGGGAGGGAGGGGGTGTGGGGCACAAGTGCTCCTCTTCCAGGTCTGCCCCCCATCTGCCTAGCGGGTCCTCAGGTGGCCAGGACGGGGGTCTTCCTCTGGCCGCCCCAGGGACTGGGGTCAGGCTGGGACCCAGGGGCGCCAGGAGACTCAGGGAAAGGCCGAAGCCGCGGAGAGCCTCAGGGCCTGCCAGGCGGGCTCCCCTCACTGGCTGCGGGCGCTCGGCCTCTCCTGTCTCCTCCCGGGGCTCCTGCAGCCACCAGCACCTCCCGGAAGCTCTCCACGTCTCCCTGTCCAGGTCCCTGACGCCGATCGGCTGGCCAGCCTCACTGGCTCGGGCGGCCTCTCCGGTGCTCGGTGGGCAGCCTGGCGGGCCCGCTGGCTTCCTCCAGGATGGGCTGCCCACCCACCCCGCTCTCACCGGCTGGGGCACCTGGGACAGGGTCCCCGGAAGGGATGGGTGTGGAGGCACCATGACGGACATGCCTGCACACCCCCTCTACCTGCCCCCCCTCCAGCCACCCCTGCCCCCCAGCACCTCTGCCTGGGCGACTCCTCCACCTACCATCTCAGCTCAGACGCCACCTCCTCGATGGGGTCCTCCCAGGCCACCACAGCCAAATGTCACCTCTCTGTTTCTGGACCACTAAATCCCTTAGTCCCGCTTTGATGCTTTGAGGTTTTATAATCATGAGTGTGGTGAATAGAATAATGGAGCCACATCCTCGTCTCTGGACCCCGTGAATGTGTGAAGTCGAGGACCCCGAGGGGGCAAGTCTCCCTGGATTATCTCCTGGGCCCAATGTAATCACAAGGGTGCTTAGAAGAGGGGGCAAGAGAGGGTAGGGGTCAGGAAAGGAGATGTGACAAACCGAGATACATTTGAAGCCGAAGTGGAAAAGCCGAAGAAACAGCATTCCCTGGAGCTTCCAGAAGGGACCAGCTCTTCCAGCACCTTGGTTTCAGCCCATGGGATCCACATCAGGCTTCTGACGGCCAGACCTACAAGGGAGTAAGTTTTCGTTGTTTCAAGCCACAAAGTTCAGATGCTTTGTTACAGCGGCGGCGGGGAAACTAACTAGGATAGGAGATTCTCAGGCACCGACTGTACCTTGCACAGCTTTGCACATCTGCGTACATATTTTAGAACATTTTTTATGACTACACTGATATATCCGTTCTGTTAAAAATTTTTTAAATGTTTATTTATTTTTTTTAAATATTTTTTTAAAATATTTTTATTTACTTCTAGGAGAGAGAGAGAGACAGCGTGAGCAGGGGAAGGTCAGAGAGAGAGGGAGACACAGAATCTGAAATAGGCTCCAGGCTCTGAGCTGGCAGTCAGCACAGAGCCTGACGCGGGGCTCGAACCCACGAACCGCGAGATCATGACCTAAGCGAAAGTCGGACGCTTAACTGACTAAGCCACCCAGGCGCCCCT